TTTAAGTACAATCTTTCTATCCTGAAAATATTAAATAATAATGTAACATTTTACAAGGGATTACACCAACACTAGTACAGATTATACATTGTTTTTCCTCTTTACATTGTATGATTTGGAAGCTATACATTTGTACAAATAGAGAGGTGTACTTTATTTTTATGGGTGGGGTTTTAAATATCTTGTATAAGAGATACAACATTTATTAACCATTTCAATACTGCACAATTTTACACCTTCCTGCCTAGGCCAGTTTTCAGGTTACAGCGCTCTCACACTTTGAATGAAGTGGTCATACAACATTGTACCCAAACTAAAATTTTATCGTTTTCTTCACACAACTAGAGCTTTTTTTTGGTGGTATATAGTCACCACTGGGGTTTTTATTTTTTGCTAAATTAACAAACAAACACCAAAAATTTTGAAAAAAAAATACGTTTTTCTTTGTTTCTGTTATAAAAGTTTACAAATAAATAATTATTCTGCATACATTTAGGCCGAGATGTATTCTGCTACATGTCTTTGGTGAAAATAACCCAAATTAGGATGTATTATTTAGCTTGTAGGAAAGTTATAGAGTTCACAAACTATGGTATAGATCTGAAAATTGATCAATCCTGAAGTACTGACAGCCAATCTAATTTCTTGAGGTCCAAGAATGTCAGAATAGTACAGATATCCCCCAAATGACCCCTTTTTGCAGAGTAGACAGTCCGACGTACTTCATAAGAGGAATTGGGAGTTTTTTGAAGTTGTATTTTTTTGTCATAATTTTTCGGAAAATGAAAAAATTAAAAAAATTATTTTCACTATTTTCTTTTTACATACTGTCACCAGTGCAGTACAGCGTCACCATATAACTGGCATAGCGGTGAACAGGGACACTGACTGGTGACAGTATGAAAAAAAAAAATATATATATATATATTTTTTTTTATTATTTTTAATCTTTTATTACATTTTTTGTTATTTTTTTAAGATTTTTTTTTCATATTTTACTATGACCAAAGTAGTACAATGTTACCATAGTAACATTGTACTACTTTGGGGAAGTGATCAGTATTTTTTTATTTTTATTTTTTATTTTTTTTTACACAATTTGCTTATAGCAAAGAATTACTTTAAGCATTTACCTGAATGACATCGATTCATTCAGGTTTTTTTTTTTTTTGTGCTTAGCTGTGATTTGGCCACAGCTAGTCACATGACATGTGCATGTGACCTGCTGTGACCATTCACAGCTAGGCACTAGTATACAATGGATGGCATGAATGAAGCCATCCATTGTATACAACTGTCATGTGACTGCTGTGGTTGGTCACAGCAGGTCACATGGTACCGGCAACGGAGGCCGGGACTCAGATCTGTCATCGGCCGTGTCCGAGGTACACGGCCGGTGACAGATCACGCTGCTGCGCGGCTCTGCAACCGCGCGAACTGCGCATGTGCGGGAGGACGCCAAATGGCGTATACACCGGAAATCTACAGCATTTTTGCGGCCGCCAAACGGCTATAGGCCGGGTGGCTAATGGTTAAAGTATAAAATGAAAATATAATAAACTCGTGCACTGCTATAACATAAGAATATGACAAAAATTAAAAAAGAAAGAGATTGCTGCACTCACTCCCCAAGTGTACTCTCACTTTAAATCAAATAAAGAAGCAAACGTGGTGCGTTACATTGGAAAATTTTAAATAAACAATAAATGCAATCCTCAATCGATCAAATAGTAATAGTCCAATCCAACATGTAAAAAAAAAGTGCTGGTATTGCAATCTCATCACAAATTTCACACCGTGCATGTGTTACGGATCCACTCCCTGCTCACCTTAAGATTTGACCTACAAATTATAATAGGTCAAATAGACTTTTGAAAACGGACTGTGTATCCTCCAAATTGTGATCCATGTTATACTCCTTCCAGACACTATACCCTTAAGAAGTCACGTGATCAGTGATGCAACGTGTCAGCTGGAGCCTAGTGATGTCACTTCTGGTGCTGCGCAAACCGGAGTGAATAGTGAGAGGAACCATTCTTGTTGAGGGAGTTTGATGCCTGCTTTCAATCTATCCTTGCGAGCTTAATTTTAATTGAATAAAGAGGTTTTATTTGATGGAGTTGCACTATGGCTTGTTCTTTCTTCCCTTGAGCACACACCATCGCATTAAGAAGGTTGGAGTTCGGTCTTTTAACCTCTTCCCTATCACACTATAGCCGAAAGATAGCTACACAGTGGTTGTCTAGTTCTGGGAGGACATCCATGGACATCATTCCAGAACACGCCGCCGATGATCGCTGTGTCCTACAGACACAGCTGATCACGTGATATGGTAAACGGCCAATCACAGCGGCCTTTTACCACATGATCAGTTGTGTCCAATGACACAGTAGATCACCGGCCTACACATTCCTCATGCTGTCACAGTGTGAGGAAAGTACTACCAATAACCGGCAATTGTCAGAGAAGTGATCAGCACTGATCATCAGGGCACTGATGATCAGTGCCCAGCAGTGATGCCCACCTATGACACCCACCTGTGCCCATTAGTGCCGCCCTCCTGTACCCATCAGTGCCACCCACATGTGCACATCAGTGCCACCCACCTGTGCCCAGCAGTGCCTATCAGTGTCACCCACCTGTGCCCAGCAGTGCCACCCATCAGTGTCCAGCAGTGCTCTCAGTCAGTGGCACCCATCAGTGCCCATCAGTGCTGCCCATGAGTGCCGCCCTCCTGTACCCATCAGTGCCACTCACATGTGCACATCAGTGCCACCCACCTGTGCCCAGCAGTGCCGCCCACCTGTGGCCAGTAGTGCCTATCAGTGCCACCCACCTGTGCCCAGCAGTGCCACCCATCAGTGTCCAGCAGTGCTCTCAGTCTGTGATACCCATCAGTGCTGCCCATCGGTGCCGCCCATCAGTGCCCAGCATTGCCATCAGTCAGTGCCACCCATCAGTGCTGCCCATCAGTGCAGTCTATCAGTGCAGCATCATCAGTGCCAGCTCATCAGTGCTGCCTATCAATACTGCCTATCAGTGCTTCCTATCAGTGCTGTCTATCCGTGCCACCTCATCAGTGCCCATCAGTGCTGCCTATCAGTGCCCATCAGTTCTGCGTCTCAGTGCAGCCTCATTAACGCACATCAGTGAAGGAGAAAAAGTACCTGTTTGCAAAATTTTATAATAGAAACAAAAAAAAACTATTTTTTTTCAAATTTTGTGCTCTTTGTTTATAGCGCAAAAAATAAAACACCCAGTGGCGATTAAATACCACCAAAAGAAAGCTCTAATTGTGTGGAAAAAAATGAAAAAATCTCATATAGGTACAGTGTTGTATGACAGCGCAATTGTCATTCAAAGCTGAAAATTGGCCTGGGCAGGAAAGGGGTATAAGTGCCTGGTAGTCAAGTGGTTAAAGGGCTAGCATCAACGAAGTAGCCACAAGTAGGAAGCAGTGGATAAGCAGAAGTCGACCATTGCTTCTAAGCATTTATGACCTATTTTTGTAGGTCTAGGAAGGAGGTGATTGCATGGTACACTTATTCGGTGATAGGAAACACCATGAAGTAGTTGGCACAGTGAAATAATATGAACACTGGATCATTGTATTTTGGAGTACATGTATATAGTTTTTCTTTAATGTGAGTGCATATGCTTAGTTTACTTAGAGTTTAGTTCATCATAAACGGTGTTGCACTATGGAATATTTTCTGATTTTTATATGCGATTTGGAGTCAAGATTTAAAGAAAATATAGTGTCTGGAAGGAGTATCACATGGATCACAATTTGGAGGATACACAGTCCATTTAAAAGCCTATTTGACCTATTATAGTTTGTAGGTGAAATCTTAAGGTGAGCAGGGAGTGGATCCGTAACACATGCACGGTGTGAAATTTGTGATGAGATTGCAATACCAGGACTTTTTTTTTACATGTTGGATTGGATGATTACTATTTGATCGATTGAGGATTGCATTTATTGTTTATTTAAAATTTTCCAATGTAACGCACCCACGTTTGCTTCTTTATTTGATTTAAAGTGAGAGTACACTTGGGGAGTGAGTGCAGCAATCTCTTTCTTGTTTCATTTTTGTCATATTCTTATGTTATAGCAGCGCACGAGTTTATTATATTTTCATTTTATACTTTAATAAATGTTGTATCTCTTTTACAAGATATTTAAAACCCCACCCATAAAAATAAAGTACACCTCTCTATTTGTACAAATATATAGTTTCCAAATCATACACTGTAATGAGGAAAGAAAATGTATAATCTGTACTAGTGTTGGTGTAATCCCTTGTAAAATGTTACATTATTATTTAATATTTTCAGGATAGAAAGATTGTACTTAAATAGCCACACACCTAAAGGTTCCATTTCATGTTTGCATTGACAATAGCTGTTTATGCCAACTGCACAAACATAATCCTGTGCAGTTCTGTATTTTAGTCCTATATTTGTGTAACACAATTTTAAAAACAGAATAAAGAAAATATACTTATCTACAAAGAGCCAATATACTGTATGTTCACCAGACCTTTAAACTAATGGCGTGAATAAAAGCTTTTTTTATCATTTCTGATTATGATTGGCTGTTTAAAGTTTAGCCTTGCTTGTCTCTGTTTATAGTGATGCACTTAGCAAAATATACTGTAACTACTAAACACTTTTAGGTAAAACTGTAAGATCAAGAAAGTCTCTATTATATTAAATATTATTTCACATAATTGTGAATGTTTTTGTTTGCATTTGTATAGTTTTTGTGTAGAGGCATTTGTGAATCCCATGTGATTTGCGAATCTAATGATTATTGTATTAAAGTTGTTATGGTAAATGGCCAGTGAAGTTGAACATACAAGAAGGAAAAACAATGCTGTAAAAAAAAATGAGGATTGCATTTACTGTTTGCTTAACATTTTAATGGGGAGATTAAAGCATACCAAAATTATTGCAAAAACACATTTCCCCACATAATGTTTTTATTTTGTTGTTACCTGTGGTTGTTCCAGAATTGCTGTCCACTGGCTAAAGCAGAAGGCTAATCTCTAGAGATAAAAGAAGAAAAGTCAGCATGACCAGTAAGATGTTCTTAACATGAGAATGTGACATGCAATGTAGGCAAAAGCAATAGATTTCTTTTTTTGTCAGCTCTACCAGAAGCCACATATCATCTTCTTGCTTCTCAGTTAGGCGAAGAAGAAGACCTTTGTGGGCTACAGTTGTGCAACTTGAAGCTTACAAAGTGCTGAGGACTGTCTCCCACCTCCATGTGACAGCACTGGGTACTTGAGCAGTCAGTCACCATGCAGCTGTACAGTCAGATAGGAGGAAATAAACTAAGTCACATGTTCTCTATACTGTAAAGCAGTATTTCTCAGCCTTTTTACCTTGGAGGAACCCTTGGCAAAAATTTTGAGATCTCGGGGAACCCCTGAAAAAAAATGTCAGATCTGCATCTCACGAAACATTGGATCTGATCAGCAAGTTGTAGATATAACAAAAAATAACAAACAAATGCAGGGCAGTGCAGGGAAGCTGTTGTGGTAACATGCTATTTTTCCTTGAACCCACTAGCCCTCCTCTCACCCATCCCAAGTGATATTACATTTAACAGCATGGGACAGAGAGAAGAGGACCTGTGGGGAAGAGTGGAGTAAATAACAGTATGCTTCCCTGCACAGCTCAGCAAATCCATAACACAGGGTTTCTCACATGGGGTTGCAGCGCACATCATATGCATATGTATATTCACACAATGTTGTTTTTATTACGCAATGACAGTGCGCATTGATACTGGATGCCTCATCTGTAGTTGTGGTTCCTGTGAACTCAGAGGGTGGCATCTAGTGGAGTGCAGAGTGAGAACTTGTCTGTTGATCAGGAGGGGGAAGCAGAGAGTTGGAGCACATGGATTAATGTTGTAGGGGGTGACATCCAGTGACATCCAGTGTATGGCAGTGATGAATGCAGATTACAGAGAGGGGGAGCAGAAGGCAGGGGCACATGGCTGGATGAGACTGAATGTAGCAGGAGGTGAGATCATAATAGCTTTATGTACAGTTATGGCGTAGCATAGAGCTAATGTGATTTCACCTTCTGCTCAACCTCCAGTCTGTATTGACTGCTGCCCTACACACACAGTGCTCCATCCCTCTGCACCCCCTTCCCTACACTCTGCATGGCACCGCTACACAGAGTCATCAAGGGATCTCACTTCGTGATCCACATGGGCTTGCGCCTTGTGCTCCCTTCCACTGTCTTGCGATCAGCACTGCCATAGAAAGGCACACGTCCCCTTTCAGGTCCTGCTCCTGTGCAGTACTCCCGGTGCCTCCCTCTGAGTTCTTAGGAGACGGGTATCAATGCACGCTGACAGTACTGACTGTCAGTGTGGATTAAGAACACTAATAGAAACAACATTGGGCAGTGTACATCCGCAACAATGTTGATTTGCGACGGAACCCCTGGGGACTTCTCGCAGAACCCTAGGGTTCCTTGGAATGTTGAAAAACACTGCTCTAAAATCAGGAATTTTTTGGTCCTAGCGGTCTAGTGGGGGAATGAAAGGAAATTTAAGCTGGGGGAACTGTTATAAAAAATCAACCTGCTGTTTTCCTCTTTGGACCCGCTATTTGCATATTCAATTAAAGGAAACTGTAATTCCATATATGTAAATAAATATTTTCCCTAATTCAGCAATTAAACCTTCTGAAGTTTTTCAAGTGCCCTTGTAACCATGAAAGCTGGGTCATACGCTAATAGAAACAATATTTTGCTTTGCAAAGAGAAAGCTTTCTTCTTTAACTACTATATGTAGCTATTGGTTACTGCCCCTGCTAGGTATGGGGTTAGGCATGTCAACCACTGACTTTGTGAAGCATTGTGGGTATTTTTACATAATAGTGCCCCAAACTTGAGGGTTCCTTAGTTCCCAGTTATTAACCCAAAAATCATGTTCAGGCTTTAAATTCCACTGCTGTACATCTTTTTACTTGAATGTTTGCTGTAAGTGACATTTTGAAACATATTTTATGTGTCATTAATGTTTTAAAATTTTATTCTCATAATTACTTGCAAAGAATCTTCCATGATGTTATTTTGAATGCCCAGATAGTCAACTAACCTAGGTATATATAAGCAAATCTGACTTCTCAACTTAAACATTAGCTTTTCAAACCTTTATTACACCTTTATGACCAATAGGTTTGGCTGTTCTAGACATGAACCATCTTCCCAACTATTGTGTGGAGTAATAAATGTGATTACACATTGCCTATTTGTGGGCATTTATAAAATTGTTTTTTCCATTCTGGATATCAGTTATGTAAACCATCCAGTCATATTTAAATGTCCATACCATTCACTTTGCAGTTACTGACAAAACCTGTTTAAATGGTTCTAATCCGAAAAATGGTTTCCCTATCCATGAACATGGTTTCATGGCTAGGGAAACCATTTGTCCGATTAGAACCATTTAAACAGGTTTTGTCAGTAACTGCAAAGTGAATGGTATGGACATTTTAATGGTTATCGGTGTGGTCCAAAATGAAAACACAAAAAAGGCAGCCCTGGGTTTACAGATGGAGACCTCATAGAAAAAGCTATAGTCAACATCTTACCAAATGACCAGAGAAATATTCAGAACATTTGCGAAACGTTGTATACAGTATATACAGTAAGTGCACAACTTTTAAGAAATGCTAAATCACATTGTGGTATTTATGGTTACTTTTTACCTCTTTAACTTTCAGAGGGGAAAATCTCTTTAAGAAAACCTTAAAAATAAGGTTTCTTTCCAGTACTTTGGTACCTATTGTTCACAATGAGGGTAAAAAAAGTCATTAATTACATTTTGATTTCTTTGTACTGTTTTCCTTGGATGTTTTGGGTATTTTCAGGCTCAGTATTTGGGCAGGTACTCTTTTCTTAATTTTATCAAAAATATTTAGATTTTTTCTTTTGAGCTGACAAGTAAATAATGGTGATACCTTTGTTGGATTCAATGGAAATAGACATTGGAGGTCTTCAGCTGCCATTGAGTGAGTCTACAATTCTGGTGTGTCTTAGAACCTTTACGAATTAATAGGCTATCTCCAATGAATACCTGCCCTCATTTTATTTATTGGTGTGTGTATATATATATATATATATATATATATGTCCCAATAAAGGATAAAATTTTGCAGAGGTGCCTTGGAATGATGGTGTGGCTTCCCAGCTACCTGCCAATGACCAGATGTAAAAAAAATTATATTCACGTTGTAAATTGCATTCACTAAACATTGCTAATAGTAATACTCATCTTAGCACTTAAGTACTTTTTTACATGTTCCATAATCTTCCATAAATCAGGCCGTGACGCATAGAATATATGTATTACTGCTGTATATGTAATTATTATAATACAATATTTTAAATGAATTGAAAAATGCATACAATCCACTTCTAAACAGAAGTGAACAAATACCTCGCTTTCCGGAATGTCCATATTTGCCATGTATTGTGCTGCGGACTGAGGGAAACCTGAAAAGAAAAGTAGAAACATTTTAAAACACACCCAAACATAAAATAAAACTTGAAGTGTGCAAATAAGAGTAACTTCTTTAACAATTACAAACCTCTTTTCAAAATGATGTGCATTTACTGCAAATATCATCAATATTCCTGCAATAAATATACCCACACTCTGAAACAGGATATAATCTACAATTAAACCATCATTATTGGTCACCTGCCTAAAAAAATGATGATGAAATTATATACACAAAAGAATAAAAATTTTACTTTACTTTAGCATACATGAACAATTTTAGAATACATCAGAATAATATGTTTAATTGTTGCAATATCCTTAATGAATATATTTGTTTCATCTATTAGTTCTTACACTTATCGTCATCAAAGCACTTGAGCTGTTGTCTTTTAAATTAAATTACTTTTCATTACTCTTTATTTTTCAAATGTAATCCCTTATATACAACACATCAGGTTTGCCTATGTATTATTAAATAACATTTTAGAATGTAAAATCTTTCTATTAAAGGACACATTGCATTGCTTTGATTTTTTTTTTCATAAAAGCTAATCCTACCTCATTTCTTTTCAGATCTTTTTTAAACACCAGTATTAGTTATCAGTACAATATGTAGACTTACTAAAATATACTAGGAACTTTATGTCAGCAGTATTTTCACATTAGACCTAGGCTGTGCAACCCATGAGTTAGGACCTCCAGAGGGATCTCTAAATGTTGCTCAGGATGCCACTTTCACAACAGTCATGTTAATGTATTTATGCTTCATAAATTTTACACAGCTTTTGTAATTGCATTATTTTAAAAGTTACTTTTTATCACTACATAACAAGTATCTACTAAAATAAAAATGTACAAAAACAGTAATGTCTTACCAGAGAGGAAAGATGAACAGCACTCAGGCAGCAGACTGCAAAGAGCAATGGCAGAGAAAGATGGTAGTTTCCAGATTTAGTGTTAAGGAACTCTCTCTTTCTATCTGTAAGGGATCTGCTTTTCTTGTTGCTCCAAGCTCTGAGCATCTTGCCAGGAAATGTTGATGGTGAATTCTGTCTCCTCCACAGTTCAGCTCTATCTCTTTAAATGTAACACTGTATCCCATAGGAGTGCAAGCAATCAGCACCTGGCAGGATCCTACTTTCTCTGCTAGCATCATGCTGAGCTCTTATTTATCAGGCATTGCCCCCCCAAATCAATGTTGTCTGATTAGCTAAGGGTTGAGTAAGTGGGGAAGAGCAGAGGACCTATATTATTGCACAATAGGGAATTTTATAACTAACACTGAACTGTGATGGATAGGAAATGCTGCTTATGAACACTATGTGATATCACGGCACGTGCCTTATGAATTATAATAGGTTTTTTTGCTTCCTATGGAGTTTATTAACAATTGCTATTTAATGACATTTGCTGATCCTTGTTCTGGGAGATTTAACATGAAACCTGCTTTACAAGAAATTGCCCTGAGATGATCTAGTTTATTGTATATCTTATTCAATAGCTATTCTTTGTCCAAAAGTGACTTGTCATTATCTTGTTTCAGCAGACTTTATGGTCTTGTTGTACAGTTTGCTTACACTACAGTTTTTAGTATTACATTTTAATCCCAATTTGTCAATCTGATAAGACCCCAGAGAAATAATTTTTAATGTTTACATTGTCTTATTTGGTGCTATTGGTTTTATGAGGTAATAAGGGAGTCGTTAGCGCGTTATACAATGCAGATGAATTATCTCCAATGGTTTGTCTATAGTGGAAGCCTTAGAATGATTCCATGTTTTCAAAATCTAAAAGCAAACCTGTGTTTTCCCATCTAAGGCAAAACAACAGGTTTGCTTTTAAATCCCAGCTCTGTGTTTTTTTTATAGTCCCACAGCATGGGTAAAAAAAAAATCAGCACTGACTGCAATACGTCCTCTCCTGCACTGCTCCTGCGCTGCTCCTGCACTGATTACATTTTATTACTGAGGAGATATCCTCAGTCTTGAGGACTCATAGGGGGAGATTTGCTAAAACAGGTACACAAAGAATCTGGTGCAGCTGTGCATAGTAACTACTCAGCTTCTAGGTTTTACTGTCAAAGCTTAATTGAACAAACTTGATTCTAGACTACTTAGTTAATTAGCTCAGCTCAAAATGGAGTCAGCTGGCTTGATTTATTCTGTAGCATATTGCAATGAGATAGCAGCATCGAGAAGCTTTAGGCCCCATGTACACTGGACACTTCTGAATGATGGAAACTGACTGCTGGAAAACATAGGTTAAAAAACATCTGTTTGGATGCATTTGCATTTTTTAAAGATAAGCACAGGAGAACCTCCCAGATGCCCAGAATGCACTGAAAAGTGGTAAATTATTAACTATTTCAGACTGTTTCAGAGAAATACAGAGAGTAGAAGCAGACACAGAAGTATGTGTTGACATTAGCTTAGGTGTGAGTTGCTCATTAACATTTCTTTTATTTCCAAGGGTGGGAAGGTGTCTGGTGGAGTGAGTCATTAAGGTCACCTGGCAGGGGGTCTTCATGAGGAATTTGAGGTGTGAATGGTCATAAAAATATCTTTTGTTTCCAAGGGTGGGAGAGGTCTGAGGTGTGAATTGGTCATTACAATGTGTGACAAGCTTGGTAGGGACATCCTGTGTGCAGTGTTTTGTCCATCTGAGCACTTTGAAAATGCTTTGCATGCATTTTTCATGATGAAAAAAGGCTCTGGACAGCATAGGGAACTGGAGGAATTAAATAAAAATGTCAAAAGCAAATGCTTATAAACGCGATTTGCCGCGTTTAGACGCATTTCCAAGTGCTTTGAGTTTGAAACGCTGATAAAATCGACTGCTGAAAGCAAGTTTGGTGCGTTTAAAAAAATGACTGCAAACTCAACTGCCTGTAAACGACTGTAAACGAAGATGTGTACATGGACACATAGGAAAACATTAGGGAGAGTTCAGGGGCTGCTGAAAAAAACGCTGAACAGTTCGTAAACTTGAGTTTATCAGCTGCAGTGTACACGAGCCCTAAGATGTTAAAGCTAACTGCTCAAAGGCTCTCAGAACTTACATTTATTCTAGAGTATGGTAACTTCCCACAGTCTCTCCATACGTTAGAGAGACTATATTAGCCAAGGAAACACATCCTATCAGATAACTGAGAATGCCTCTATTTTCTAATGCCCCTAGTGGAAATTATAACCTAATATTTGGGCTGAATGTAAGAAGCCTGGCCTTTAGAGATTGCCAAAATAGAGATAAGAAGAGAGAGATGCCTAGTGGTTCAGAGATACACGTACAAAGTTAAAATGGAGTTTACAAGGTTACATAGGGGTTGATTTACTAAAACTGTAAGATGGAAAATCTGGTGCAACTCTGCATAGAAACTGATCAACTTCCAGGTTGCTTTTTGCTTAATTGAACAAGCTGAAGTTAGAAGCTGATTAATTATTAATGATTAACATAATTTTGTAACTATAGAGCCTAGTACACACGGGCTGAATATCAGGTGTACGGTAGTCGGTCCGACAGAAGTCGGCTGTTTGAGCCAGTTTTGTCGAAGGGGCATGATCAAAAAAGGTTTGCTGATCGGCTCCTGATCAGCGCTCTCAGCCCCTCTCAGGGAGGTGCCCCTCGGTCAGAACACAATAGCACAGCGGGGGAGATAGCTGTACTAACTTCGGATAGTTAGGACAGTCCAAAATAGCATGGATATTAAAGGAATTAGACTAGGGGCGTGGAACATAAAGTCGCAGCCATGGGCGGACTGACAACTCATGGGGCCCCTGGGCAATAGGGGATCATGGGGCCCCTGTGTCCTTGCCCAAACTCAAAAAAGCCTATGAAAAAGGTACCAGGGGCATCTCATGGGGCCCCCTACTGACCCCGGGCCCTGGGGCAGTGCCCGAGCTTCCAAATGGTCAGTCCACCTCTGGTCGCAGAATACGCAGACGATATGTTATTCTATGTGGTAAACCCTAGGTTAACATTACCAAACTTAACCCCTTGGCGCCAATCGCACGCAAATATGCAGCCTCTCGGCGTCTGGGCCTTGACACTGAGCGGCCGCATATTTGCGTGCAATTAGAAAATACAAATGTTCTGAGAGTGTGCGCCCTGCGCGCACCCAGCACGTATGTCCGCGACTCCCGGAAAGGTCCCGATCTCCCCTTTCGATCGGGACTTTTTCCGATCATGTGACCGGCGTGATGACGAATCACGGTGGTCACAAGACCCTAAAACCCCGCCCCGCCTCCCAGCTTCTGAAACTTTTAAAGGGCCAGGAGGCGCTGGTGCCAAGAGGTTAATGAGAATATTAAAATACTCTGGAGAACTATCAAATTTAAAAGTGAATCTTTCAAAGTCAGAGATACTAAATATTAGCGTCCCAAAAATAGAAAAAATGGTATTACAAAATGAATTTCCTTTCACATGGAGGGAAAAAGAATTAAAATATTTAGGAATAAAGCTGACCTTGTTCCTTCAAAACATCTATCAGGTGAATTACATTCCATTAACCACTTGCCCTCCTGAGAATTTTCCCACCTCCCTGACCAGGCCTTTTTTTGCTATTTGGCACTGCACTATTTCAACTGGTAATTGCGCAGTCATACAATACTGTACCCAAACAAAATTCACATCCTTTTTTTCACACAAATAGAGCTTTCTTTCGGTGGTATTTGATCACCTTTGCGCTTTTTATTTTTCTCGTTTTCTCATTTCTGTCATAAAAAATATCCAAAAACCTCAAATTTTGTCATAAATTTAGGTCAAAATGTATTCTGATACATGTCTTTGGTAAAAAAAAATCCCAATAATAGCGCATGCATGGAGGGGCGAGAGTGCTTTTTTTTGTTATTTTTATTTTTTTAATTATTTTTACACTGTCCCTTTCATTTTTTTTTTCTTTTGATCACTTTTAATGCTATCACAGGGAATGCAAATATCCCCTATAACTTCAATGGGCATTGTCATATATTCTTTTTTTTTAGAAATCTGGGGTCTATCAGACTCTAGATATCTCCTCTGCCCTTACATTAATCTCACCAAGATTGGTGTGATCAGATGCTTTCCCAATTTACAAATGCTGTTTATATCCTGCAAAACTGAAGTGATGAAATGCTCGTACCTTCTAATTTCTTAGACTATAAAGATGATTGGCGCCATTCCGGTCTCCAATCAGCTCTTTGGTCAGCTGGCAGAAACATTGCATTCTCAGGTTCCCCCGATGGCATGGGACTGCCCAAGAAGGCTGTGGAAGGCAGTGGGGAGGGGGCATCTTCTCCTGCTGCTTGTAAAAGCAATCCTGCAGCTAATTAGCCACTAGGATTGCTTTTACATGCAAGCGATCGCCATCTGAAAAATATGATATCAGGATGATGCCTGCAGCTTAGGCATATATGCTTTTTTTTAACTGCTGATGAAAAATCACATCCAACAGCACTGCACACACCTACTTATGTATATTCTGAGAGCAAACTTTGGGTTTAGTTAGTTTTGGGAAATTAAGTACGGCTTCATCATCTGGTCTTTAAAGTCCATCCCTCCCATGTTAAGGTTATAATCATGGACACAGAGGGGCTTCTCAACAACACCAGCTGCCGTGGCCATTTGGATGGTCGTGTCTGCGTGAATGGAAGACAGGACGAAAACATCGCGCTTGTCCTTCCACTTCACTGTGAGCAATTCCTCATTTCTCAAGCAGGCTTTTTCCCCCTTTCTAAGATGGGTATTTACAAGCCATTTGGGTAAGCCCATTAGGTCAAACGATGCCACATACACCAATTCCAAGATTGTACAAATGTCTAAGTAGTGGCATGCTTGAATAAAAATTGCCCACGTGTAAGTGGTACCCCATATGGAAAAAGGATGACACCAAGTCCCAAATTATCTTGCCACTGCTCCACGTGTAGTCTGGGCATCCAGGGGGCTCCACGTGATCTTTTCCCTCATAAATCTGAAACTTATAAGTATAGCCTGTTGCCCTCTGACAGGTCTTATACATCTTGACCACATATCTGGCATGCTTGCTGGG